ATAAGTAAGAATTAAGACAATAAAAGAAGTTCACCGCTTCTTAAATTGCCAACTTAAAAAAACAGAGGCTAAACTGTCTTAAATTAGCAAATAATTTTTAAAAAAATATACAAGAAAATTTATAAAAATATGAAATACTGTAGCTATTGTAAAAAAGAAGTAAAATCAAGAGGCGAAACAGGATGTTATAGCCAATGTGGAAGAGATTGTAACGATTGTTGCTCTGAATGTAATCGACATGGTTTAACTCAGGCGGTTATAGCGGTTATAGACGGCAAACTTACTAGTCCAAGTTGATCTCTCCAAATGCTTGTTAATGAGGTTCGGGCTGGAATGAGAGATGTTGATAGTGGATACATGAGCGAATATCTATGCACGATAGAGGACGGAGCAGTTTATCAAAATAGTGTTAAAGTGAATTACACGGTTAAGTTTAGGTATGCAAATGGTCATTATACTGCTTTAACTTCATATAGAAAATAAAATCATGAAAGGTAATCTTACAATTGTCGATAAAAAAACTGAATCTGGTGCATTTCGCTATGAGGAAAGAATAAAATCGTCTCAATTTCGGGAGAACATTGACTATACTTTTGATGAGGTTAAGAGTATTTATACCATTCTTTCTCCTCAGTTGGCAAGGGAGATTTTGATAATTCAAAATCCCTATAATGAGAATATTGATGTTTCTAGCATAGTGGTAAAAGTGTTGGTTGATTATGAAAGTGAAATTAATGTCAAACCTCAAATTGTTATTGATTTAGAAAAAAGGGAAGGATTGATTGAAGCAAGTAGAGGAAGAAATAATTTTCCTCAATCTTTACCTCCTAGCAGAACAAATCAGTTAATCAAAGATAAAAAAAAAGAGGCTAGTTCTCTTCAAATTCAAGAAATTGATGTAGATGTAGAAATGAATGAAGTTGAAAATCCAAAAGAAGCCGAAAAAGGTGATAGTAAGAATGTTAGCAAAGTTGCAGGAAGTTCTGCTATTATTGGATTTTTATTACTTATTTTAGCGTTGGTTTAAAAGATAGAGATATGTCAGAAACAACAGAAAAACAACCACCTTTGATACAATTAGATCCGCGTCAGTTAAAAGATTTGATAATTACTGTTGATTATGTTACCAAGGAGTTAAAAAATATTGCTGATAAGTTGGTTGCTGTTGAATCTGAATTAAAACTTTTTCCTTTCATGCTCTTTTCTGTGCTTTTTTTCATAAGACAAAGCCTTTTCGTAGGTTAAGTATTCAGTCCAGTTTTCCCGTTGGTTTTGATAAGCACACCGGCAACAATATTCCCAACTAACTTTCCCGCAAACTTTTACTTGCTGACAGTTTAAACAATAATAACTTCTAAAAAGGGGTTTTACTTGGGAGGTCTCATTAAATAACCCTTTCATATTTTATAATTCCTTAATTTATGTGTTGATTATATTTTTGTGGTAAATATATAAGTATTTTTAAGTTTTTACCCTCCCCTATTGCGTAATAAAAAAAAGAAGCAAAAAAAATTTTCCCCATAAAGCCCTTACAAAAAGAAATCAGGGGGGAAACAGTGGCACACAATCACCAATTAACAAAGTTAATTTTTAATTTTTTTTTGCTTCTTTTTTTTAAGAAAGAGGTATTGACTAGTAATTCAGGTAAGAACCTCAATTATTAGTAAAGAATTAGGGAGTTTTTAAGGCTCCCTTTTTTTAATCAAATTTACCTTTTTTATCCGCAATTTCAACTCTTACTTACAGCAATTAGCCAAGGGGGAAACTCCTGAGGACAGAACAAACTTTATTGACTGGAAAAGATTTTATCAGCAAAAGGGCTGAGGGATAAATTTGGAGGAGTGATTAAGGGAAAAGAGAACTTTGCCAATAGATATTCATTGTGCGGAGAAATGACGAAAAGATAAGAAACATTTACCGGAGAACTGTGGCTGTTTAGAAAGAAAAGCCCAAGAACTGCATGAATACTTTACTAATTGCTTGGAAAGAGATAAAAAGAAGTTAGAAAAGTGTCAGTGTGAAACTAGTGAGAAAGTAAGAGTTGATTATATTGATAGTCAAGGAGAAGGCTGGATTTATTGTGAAATTTGTGAACAAAGAATAGAGAGTGCGGGACATCATGGCGTGATTAAGAATCGGAATGACCCGAGGTTTTGGGGATTGAATGCTAAGGAAAGGGTGTTGTGTGGGTTTTGCTTAGGGAATTTGATTGAGAGCATGCCAAGGAGGAAAAAATATTTGTTTTGGGAGTATGGGAAGAGGGGGTATTGGGGTTAGGTGTTTAAGTATATAGGCAAGTGTTAAAATACTATATTATGTCAGGACACAATGTTAATATCTACTTTCAAGAAAAAACTTATCTAAAAATAAAGCCTTTAATCAAGCAAAGAAAAGTCAGTGAGTTCGTGAATAAACTGGTAGAAAAAGAATTATCTCAAACTGAAAAGCAAGAAAAAGAACAGTTAAGAAAACGACTAATTGAAGCCTACAAAAGAGAAAGTGAAAACCAAGCTTTGCAAGAGGAATTAGCCATTTGGGACGAAATATCAGGAGATGGCTTAGACGATGAATAAAAAACAACTAATTAGATACAAAAGAGGAGAAATTTGGCTAGTTGAATTCCCACCAACCAAAGAAAATCGGAAACGTCGTCGCCCCTGCCTAGTAATTAGTAATGACCTCCAAAACGAATATGGCAAATGAATAGTAGTAGCCGGAATGACAACCAAAAATATAAAAATTGTTGAGCCTTTTGAAGTCTTTTTTAGCAATACAACCGAAACAGGTTTAGATGAACCCAGCAAACTAAAACTGAACTATCCCCGCACTATTGATAAAGAAAGACTAAAAGAAAAGTTGGGAGTTGCTAACCAAGAAATAATGGAACAGGTTATAAAGGCTTGGAAGATTGCTTTTGATTGAGAAATTAGTTAAAAGATTTTAGCCAGTAAACTTAATAAATCTATATTCTATCTAGCCTCTATAAACTTAATATATGTCTCAACTAAACCAATTTGTAAAGGCAGATTTTACTTGTGATAAGTGTGGAGGGGATTTTTACGGAACCACGGCTTACTCAGTGGCTCAGGATTGAGAGGAGTTTGATAAGGAATATACTTATTGCAGAAAGTGTGTAAAAGTATCAGAAACGGAATACTCAAAAATAGATGGGAGAAGTTTAAATAAGACTGGCAGGACTTATCAGTTAGGGACTAGGGTTAAAAAAGAGTTTTTAGAGAAATTGAAAAGAATTGCTTATGAGGATGGGTTGAAAATGGTGGAGGTGTTGGAGAGGAGTTTGGAGTGTTATGAAAGGGAGAGGTAAAATTAATTAGTCATGGTAACTATGAAAGGATTGTGGAAGAATAAAAAATATCAGCAGAAGTCAAACGGAAATATGGAAATAAAAACGAAAGGTAGTAATAAGAAAGAATTTAGTTTCCCGCCCGAAAAGGAAATGCAAAAAGTAATCAAAAGATTTTCAGACCCCAATTATAACCGAGTAAACATTGGCTTAACGCCTAATGCTAGCGAGCTAGATAAGGCTAAATATGATATTTGTCAGTCAATATCTCGTTATAAAAGAGTAAGCAACCTTACCCCTAGTGAACTAGCCAAGAAATTAAAAATCAGTAAAGAAAGAACTGACGATATTCTATTCGGACGAATTAGTAATTTTGACTTTGAAGAACTAGTATCTTACACCGAAAAACTAAACGGACACTTAAAAATTAACATTAACTATGATGGCGAAAAAGCCTCCGCAAGAGCCAGTTAACACCATTACTACTGATTGCGATATAATAATGCTCGGTATCAGGAGAACAGTTTTAAAAATTAGTCCGCATTTCTTAAAACGCAATGAAGAGTTTAGAAACAGCAAGAAAGCCAAGATAAAAACAAACTTAAATCAGTGATTATTAGATGAAAAAGTAATTAAGAATCTCGTTCAACAACTAGACCAAAAAGAACCAGAGGACGAAGGAGTTCATAAAGATTGAAAAAACTTAAAATATTATGGTTATCAACCAGTTATAGATTGAAGAAATGGAATGGAATATCGGATAATTTGGCTTCACGATGACTACAACCCTGAAATTATTGGGATAATGACTGTTTATCCGTCTGAATAAAATTTAAGTCAACAATTCTTAATAAGTTTTCTGAATAATATATAAAATAAAATAATATATAGAGTTGTCTATTTATTGTTTCTAGTTAGCCAGTCGGTTTAGAGTTAGCAAAGTTCCCTAGTTCCGAACTGGTTGGCTAGAAAGAATAAATAAACATGGGAACTTTGCAAATCTCCCAAGAAACAAAAATTTTTCATACTGTTTCTTGTCCTCAAACCAATAGAAAATCAAAACACGGACAACACAAGGAAGATTATTTTGCTTTTTATTACCAAAAGAACAAGCAAAAGTATCTCCTCACTCAACAAAAATACCGAGTTAAACTAAAAGCGAATAAGCCCGTTAAGTCTCGTTCTTTTTTCTTAACAAGTAGAGAACAAAACCTCCTCTCCTGCTTAAATAAACACCATATAACTGTCCCAGTTCCTCGTTTTTTAAAAGTTAAGCATCCCATTATTAAAGACTGGAATAACCCTAAATGGTGATGTAAAGAAACTATTCAACAATTATTAAAAAAAGGCTGAAATTACTTTACTTTACTGAATAAAGATAACAGTTATCAAGGAGTTCGGATTGGTTGTATTGATATTGACGAAAAAGGTTGAACTAAACTACCCACTAAATACTGGTGCTGTTATATTAGTGCGAGTAATGGGAAAATTAAATTGCTTTTTCTTTACCGAGATAACAAGGGATTAAAAACTAGTGCTGGTTATTTTCAAGAAAAAAAGATATTAGACTTTAAGATATCAGGGGGGATAATGGGACTAGGGAGCATTCACCCCAATGGTAAACCTTATTCTTTAAAAGGAGCGGGGAGTTTCTTTTTACAGCAGAACAAAATATTCAATTCTCCGCAAGAAGTTATTGAGTTATTGAAGCAAGATTGAGGAATTGAGATATTAAGTATTAGAGAACACTTTATTAAACGAAAAGAGCGAGAAATCACTCATAGCGAACAAGTAGCAGAAACCTTATTTATTCCCATCCGGGAACCACCGATGAATTATGGTGAAAATAAGGGAAATTCTCCCAAAATAGGTAATTACTAGGGGAGCAGAACGCTTTTTTGACCTAGTAAGCACTTATTTTGGGAGAAGTTAAATCAAATTGAAATAACTTTCCCGCAAACCCAATAAAGATAATGACAAATTGGGAGCCTGATTGGAGCAATCCAACACAGGAGAGCAACCAAGGAGAAAAAGCCTTGGTTGGGGCTAATGAAAAAAAGCCCTAGGGGTTGCTAGGAATACCCAATTACAATCCTAGCCATGGAAGCCTTCCATGTAATATCCACTACAATATTAATTTTAGTATTGAGAGTAGATTACATGGAATGAAGAAAGTGGGAGCCAATACTTATTACTGAAAATGATTATAACACCATGAGAGAAGTCAAGGGAGAGAGGGAGAAAGGAGGATTGGTGTTATAATCAAATTGAGAGGGAAAAAGTAGGTTAAAAACCCTCACTGTTTAGGTGAAAAAGGTTAAATAAAAAACATGATGAATTAATGAGAAGTTAGGTAAGTATGAGATTGAAAATAAATAAGGTAAATGTTTTTAACTCCCTAAAAATAGTTTTGAATATTAGGGAATGTTTTATTTTTTTAAAGAAAAAGGACTATAAACTTAATTAAATAATAAAACTGTATGAGTTCCAGTCATGACAAACAATCATATTCACCATTATCAAGGACTAATCACGGCAACTTGAAAGGAGGACTATATAACGCCATTTGTGGCGGAAAAGGATAGAGAGATATCAGGCTTAAAGGTCATAAGTAAGAATTAAGACAATAAAAGAAGTTCACCG